CATAATATTTAAATTTCAGTATATACTAATGTAATTGTTTAGAAAATTGACACCAAATTTAACCTATTTTTAAAAAGTTTGTAATGGGGAAAAATGGTGAGATAACTAACATTCCATATCGTTAGATTTCCTATAAATAAACAAGATATAATAAATTGTTATTTTTACTTTCGGATATGAGGGCTACTTTAAATGGCTTATACAAATATGTTAAAGGGAAGTATCTCAAATAAATCAAATATAATCTAGATATATTTAGTCAACACTGGGTTTCATGGATACGTACATAAATAAAAATGTTTGAAATACCCATTTTTATTTAAAAGAATTGCCATCGCCAAACGGCGACTGTAACTACGATTTGGCTTGTCTTGGAGTATCTTCGCAGGCTTTCGCAATCGCCTGCTGCCGTTGGACTTTTTGTTGTGCATTTTTTTTTTGCAGCGCTTCGTTGATTTTTGCAGCTTAGCCAGTTAGTCCAGCGCTATATTGGTCGACGGTTGCTTCTTTTCGGGCTGCAGTTCTGCCCACTCATAGGCACACTGGAAATTTGTTTGGCCTAATCACGGGCCTGTAATCTTCCACGCGCTTTCTTGTTTGGGCGTGGTTTTGTTGGCTGTTGGCATCGGGTCCACGGGCCTATCCTTAACCGGTTGAATAGCTTTTCTGACTAGGCAGTAACATGAAATCCTCACCTCACTCAAAATTTTTGACCATTTGGCAGAGATTTTTTGGCTCAAAGGCTTCGGCTTCGAATTTTGGCTTCTCCTGATGCCTCCCTTTCGCTTTGCCGCTTGTAATTGCCTTGTCACGATTTTGATTGTGTCTATCGCTATATCGGTATGCCGGAGATGTCGGGGAGATCGGGGGATTACTTTGATTCCCTTTGTATTGCCGTTGACATATTTATCTATTTTGGCTTCTCTTTCCATTTGTTTTTATTCGGAGCACATCAATTTATGGCCCTCTCAAAGGTAAACAGTCGACAAACGTGCGCTAATTTCCACATGAAATTGATTTTTTTCGGTACTTCGGCTATTACTTGGAATCTATATTGTTATAGGGACTTGCCGGTTATGCAATATCTAGTTTAATGCTTTTTAAAGCTTAGTACTTTATTATTGGCTTGGGGAAGCAGAAGACATGGCGTATACGTGATATTATTGATGACCCCAGGGAACATGGCTTTATGAACTACTTATATAAGCAACCTAGATTATTTTTGTGCACTTATTTATATTAATTTACTAAGATATTTTATTTTCTGATTACATAACATTAGTCGGTATTTTGAAATAATTAATTCCCCATTTTATATTCAATGCATTTTTATTTAGAAGTGTTTATTTATTTTAAATTATATTGCGGATCTACTTTTATATTTCCAATGTATATTATATTTACCAAATTCCCTTAAGACACCAAAAGCTTTATTTTTATCTTTTTGAGATCTCTATGTGATAAAATGTTTAAATTTAATCAAAACAATAAAAAACTTAACGACTTCCAAAAACTTTTCCCTCTTCCCACTTGATCCAAGCTGTTATATGATCTGTTTTGATTTATGTATCCAAAGACCATTAAAATTTATAATAATTGTTTTTGATTTTTTTTGGAAAGGGCCACCCAAAAGTGGGTTCGAAAGAAACTCTTTTTATTATTTTCACCCATTTTGGCGACGTGAGTTTAATTTGTGGCTCAATTTTTTATGGCTGTTATTTATTTATTTATGTTTACAGTGCTGCGTGCATAATTTTCCCTAAATTATAATTCATTTGCCCGCCGATCGCCCTTCTTCGTCTTGATGTTGCTGTTGTTGTTGTTGATGATGTTGCTGTTGTTGTTGCTGCTGCTGCTGCTGCCGGCGTCGCTGTCGACGGCGATTATGTGATTTTTCTTGCCGCAGTACGTTCGTCATAGCCATTTTGTTGTCGTAGTCGCCGTTTGCTGCCGTTGCTGCTGCTGCTGCTTCGTTTTCACTTTCTATCGCTCCCCGGCAGCAACAGCAACACTACCGCAGCAACAGCAACAGCACGGCAGCAACAGCAACTTACATGTGTGCATATATTTGTCGACACGCTGACCCAGTTTCTCATACCAATACCAGCGAACGTGGAGGCACACACTGGAATTAATATTATTATGGTTGGTTTGCTTGATTTTCTTGCTGGTTTTCGTGCCTCGGCGTCCGTCTTTTCCCCGTTTTCTTATATGCAGTTTACAGTTTACATTCACACACACACACACACACACACACACATATTTCCATTATCAATTATCGTACGCCGATCGTTCGATATTGGGGTATTATGCAGCATGTGGGCCTTCTGCCGCTGACAAATAATTGAAATTGAAGTTCGGTCAGGGGATCTTTCGGTTATGCATTTGCCTTAATTGCTCGATCATCAAAAATCCGGCGAAAAAAAGCACATGGTATCTATAAGGACGGCTATGACTATGGAGTTTTTTGTTTTCGACTGCGGGGGAAATGGGGATGGATGGGGGCCGCATTTCTGCTTCGCTGATTATGTCTGCAACAAAAGCTCTATTAACTACGGAGACGAGACGCTCGCCTGGCGATATCGATCAGAATCACGAAAATGTAATGCACATTAACTAAGCATTTTTGAATGCCCTACGAGGAGGGTCCATTTGTTCTATGAGGAGCTTGGGTAATAATTGAAAATGATTATAATTATTAAGCATATCTGAGATCTACATTATGATATCTAAATTTCTTATATCAGCCTGTCGAAGCGGTTTTTAAAGCATTCTTTTCTATTTTGATTTATCTATCTTTGAATTCTAAATTTAAAAATTCCATTACAATCTAATGACTTGAATACGTTGGAAAATAAGATGTTGATAAAAACTAAAATACAGGAACTTTCTGCTTATAAGACTGTCATGCCCTTTATGATCTTAATTATTATTTAAATCAATTTATTCAACAAATGTTTAAAAAATGGTATACTTTTCATAGAAATAAATTATTTTAAAATCATTTCGAACTAGGCAAAGGTATATTTGAATGATCTGTAAGCAAAGATATTGTTATTAGTTGCTAAAATATTATAATTTTATATAAATTTATATAACAAACTATTATTATGGTTTTAATGAGTGAAATTAGAAACTTATTTCAGTAATACCTTTTGACTCTGTGATTTCGGTGATTGAATTTAAACCCAACTGACGTCAAAGTTTTACATATTTCGGTGACACCATAGTATTTAAACTAGTGAATCACTCTTCTCATTTCTGAATGTGTAATGTGGCTAACACGCCCAGATTAGTTATACAAACTTTGCCAAATCTCTGACTCAACTTAAAAATTTGTGTAAAATTCCAAAAAAAATCGCCTAAGAGTATGTACAAATTCGTTGCATTCTGCATAGATTTTCCAGTTTCTTCTTGCCGTTTTTGCTGTGGTTGGCTGCTGCTGGTGGTACTGGTGGTGCTGCTGCTATTCGACTTTTCGTCTTTTCGACTACTATATATTCCTGCCCTACGCTCCGAGCCACTTCACGCGTCAATGAAAGCGAAAGGAAAACTGAGCCACCGGCGGGGCTCTCAAAGTCGTAGAAGAAAAAGCTCGGGCTGGTGAGGAAATGGTAAATATTGGGCAAAACGCGGTCATTTTGCAAGCGGCCAACACAGAACCACAATCAGGGCAGCGTGACTGTCCAGGGGATCCAAATAAACGATGGCTTTTCAACTGCTCCTGCTTCGGCGCCATTAATTTCTACTGGAATTTGAAGAAGAAATTAATTTATGCCTGTCGCCGTATGCAAAAATTAATGTCATACGCATAACGGTGAAATGATGTAACCGCTGTCAACTCAAAAAAAAAAAAAGAAAAAAAATACAAAACTTTATGAATTTAGGCGGATGGTCGGAGCTTCCCATTTGCATATATATAAACGCATACATTCGTCTTTGTAGCCTGGCCAAAAAGAGTGTGTATGTGTATTTAATATGCGAGCAACAACAACCAAAAAAAAAAACAGCAACAACTGTAAACAAGTTTGCCTATATATCTATTTTTTTTTTTTCGTTTAATAAATAAATAAAATTTTTTGTTGCTTTTTCCGTTTATTTTTTTTTTAGGTGAAACATGTTAGCATGCAGTTACAAGTGTGTGGCTGTCGCTCCCCCTCCCCCGCTGCACCTCTGCCCCCTTTTACCGCCCAACCCCCACAGCCACCCCCTGCCCCGCCCCCTCTTGTGTCCCATTTGTCTGTTTGTCGGCATCGCTGTCTGGTGTCTCACAGTTGTCGATGCCGTTGTTGTTGTTGTTGTTGTTGTTCCTGTTGCCGCTTGTTTGTTTGTTTGTTCAAGACACTTCAACACTTGAGTTCAAGTTTTTGTTGTATTTCCTTTCCACAATTTTCACACAGAGAGCACTCCACAAAGTGCACTTTTCATCAGCTCGGGAGGGAGTTTTCAACTGGTAAATCAGAGGGGGGCTTTATTTGGGTATTAAATATTAAATTTGCAAATTTAAATTTAATGAATATTAATATTTGATACAAAAAAAAATTAATTTATATTGTCCTTTTGAAGGATTGTAATTGAAAGGCTGTTAAAATGTTTGTTTGGACTGTATATTGTCAACACGAGAACTTGCAGTGTAACTGACGTCACACTGTAAGCTCTCTAGTTACAGACATTCTTCTTTGCCTTTTATTCGTAGTCTTGTTCGAAAGATCGAACCATATCACAGCTAATTTGTGCATATGTACATACATAATTTGGAGAGCTGCAGCTTCGGTGAAAATGAAATGTAAAACCGACAAGTTAATCTGCGAGCGACAGTCAATATAGTCAGAAGCACCCTCTGTGCTCTTCTCTTTTATGTTTAATTATATAACCTAATTAAATCGAACGCACATTTTTGGAACCTTTCGACTTCTTATTTGGGACCTTGGGAAACAGACCGCCACTCCGAGGAACTTCCAACGCCGCCACAGGTGGATAATCACTCTGTGCGCCGCATCATATTTTGCTGAAGATTGGGGCTCCGTCGGTACGCAGCCATAGCCAACACATTTTGGTGCCGAAACCCGGGAAGACTTCTCTTGGACTGAGTGGATTATCTGTGGGTCACTACTTGGACTACGCTGGAGCGCGAAGAGGTTATTGTAGAAGGTTAGTGCACTGTGTTTTGTTGTGAGAAAGAGGGTCAAGGTCATGGCTGAGACATTTGAGGAATTAATTGCGGAGCAATCAGCTTTGATTGATTCTGTACGCCGCATGTTAGAGAACTTTCGGAAAGCTGGCACTAATAATTCGGAAGCGCATATGGAGACTAGATTAGAATCTCTGGCCAATATTCGCATGGAGTTCCGAGAGAACCATCGAAAATTGGTGCGTTCGGATGACGAATTGGTTCGGAACGATTATATGGAGGCAGATCTTGAAGGAAAGTTCCAAGAAGCGTATATTGATAGTGTGGCGCAGATTAGAACTGACCTAAATGAGACTAAGGATCGACTTTTGGCATCAACAGGAATTAACAATCTTGATTTTCAGGATGGGAATCGCAACGCGCTACCGTCACGGTTTATAGCACCAGACCAAACCATGATCGATGAGGTTAAACTTCCCACGGTTAAATTGCCTATATTTAGCGGTGAATTTGTAGATTGGCCGGCATTTAAGGAAATATTTGAAGCGCGAGTTCATAATAGCCCTAGACTCACTGATCTACATCGATTCCATTACCTCAAAGATTCTTTGTCAGGGGAAGCAATCAAAGATATCCAACATCTAACACTGATCGAAACAAATTATCATGTAGCTTGGCAAATGTTATTAAATTTATATGATAATAAGCGTGTTCTGTTTCAACATTATATGCAGGTACTAGAACAACAGCCCATGGTGCAGAGCGATGACCCTGTTTCGCTTAAGGGGTTTTTACAAACTTGTCGTTCTTGTATTAAATCATTGGAAAAGGTTGGCGTTAACCTTTTCGATCAAAGTCATGTCATAGTTTACATGGTAACGAAGAAACTACCTGCGGAGCTGCGGTTGGACTGGGAAAAATCCCTGGCTACTTCGCAGGAGTTACCAACATTCGAAGAATTATCCGCGCATCTCGATGGACAATACAGGACTATGCTTACGTCCGCCAGTGGCGAGAGGACAATATTGTCTAACAAGGATCGAAAGGGAGCATCGGGATCATCTGAGAAGCGCCGAGATGTGAAATCTTCCTTTGTCGCCCGATCGGAGCAGAAATGTGCCATGTGTTGCAAGAACGGTCATTCCGTCCAAGATTGCAAGGTTTTCGAAAGTATGCATCTAACAGCACGGAGGGAAGCTGTTATGAAGCAACGTTTGTGCTTCAACTGTTTGGGGAATAACCATAACTCACGAAGGTGCAAACTTAAAAACAATTGTTCGATATGCGCAGATCGGCATCACACGCTCATACATTTGGATCGGGTTCGGCTAACTAAAGAGCCAAATGAGCAGGTGCAACAAGTTACTTCCAACGCAATTAGCGGGACTTCGAGTACAACTGGGACTAGTTATGAAGTGCTATTGCCAACAGCGTTAGTTCTGATCCAGTCAGCAGAAGGGTTTACACTACAGTTCCGAGCATTTCTTGACCAAGGATCGCAAGCTTCGTTTGTATCGGAAAACGTAGTTCAGAAGTTGGGACTAACTCGTCAAAAGGCATACATTAAGGTTAATGGACTGGCCAACGCCCAAGTTACCGAAGCGTCTTCTTCCGTTCTTTTATGTTTTGGATCAAGGTTTGAGACACAGGCAAGGTATAGTGTGACTGCGTATGTGTTACCAAAGGTGAGTAAGCGCATGCCAAATCGTCGCTTATCTGTGGAAAAATGGTCTCAATTTGAACAGTTTTGCCTGGCTGATCCTAATTATTTTGTTCCACAAGGTGTGGACATATTGTTGGGGAGTGATATCTATGATGAATTGATGCTAAGTGAAATACATCGTGGACCGGATGGCTGGCCTATTGCTCAAAGCACACGACTTGGATTTATAATATCAGGAAAAGTTAAGGAACCCATCACAAAGGTCTCGGTGCATACGGTGACCGTAATCAAGGACGAATCATCTGCGGAATTAGAAGGATTACTTCGCAGATTCTGGGAATTTGAACAGTTGGATGAGGCAGCAGAAGTTTTGTCGAAGGAAGATTTGTGGTGTGAGGAACATTTTGTTAATACACATGTGCGGTTACCTTCAGGGAAATATCAAGTGCGGTTGCCATTTCTATCCGCTTTGGATCCCCAGTTAGTAATTGGGTCGTCGCGTCAAGGTGCTTTGAAACGGTTGTGCCATTTGGACAAGCGTTTACGCAACGATGCCAACCTGAAGGAGGTGTATTCCAAAACCATAAAGGAATACTTGGAGTTGGGACAAATGGAAAAGGTTGTTACACAAGTTGGACAAACGGAAGAAACAGGCTACCCGGGGGGAGCCACACATTGTTATTTACCTCACCACCCAGTAATCAAGGAATCGTCAACGACTACCAAGGTGCGCGTCGTCTTTGACGGATCGATGAAGACGAGCAATGGGAAATCGTTGAATGAAATCTTAGCAATAGGGCCCAAATTGCACATGGAGCTTCCAGCAATACTGATCAACTGGAGAGTAATAAGATTTGCATTCCTTGCGGACGTGGAAAAAATGTATAGATGTATTAATATACATAAGAAGGATGCTCAATTTCAAAGAATTTTGTGGAAAACGGACAACACTGTCCAGGTAGAGGAATATGCCTGCTGCACGGTCATGTTTGGCACGAGCTGTGCTCCGTATCTGGCCATTAGAGTTATGCAGCAGTTAGCCGAAGATGAAGAGCATAACTACCCGCTGGCAGCCAATGTACTTAAACGTCAGATGTATGTGGACGACGTTTTATCTGGAGCAAATAGTATTTCCGATGCAAAGGAACTGCAAGCTCAAGTTAGAGGAATGATGAGAAGGGGATCTTTTGAGTTGCGAAAATGGGCCAGCAACTGTCCTCAACTGTTGGAAGGAATACCTCTAGAACATCGGGAAACCAAAGAGCCTCTAAACTTTCAAGGTGACGAGACGATTAGAGCGTTAGGATTATATTGGAAACCCAATGAAGATGAGTTTCGATTTCAAATTAATTTTGATCTCCCAACAGGTACACCAACGAAGAGAAAGATGCTTTCGACGATTGCGAGGTTATTCGACCCAATGGGATGGTTGAGCCCAATCACCGTTGTTGGAAAGCGAATGGTGCAAGCTCTGTGGAAGACAAAACTTAGTTGGGACGACCACGTACCATTGGAACTTCAAAAAGAATGGCAGAAATTCATTCAAGAGCTACCAAACTTGTCTAAGATTCATATACCGCGCTACATTGCTTGGGGAATGTCAAAGGGAACTCCACAGTTACACATGTTCTGCGACGCGTCAGGATACGCGTACGGTGCGGCGGCTTACTTACGAATTCCGATAGGAGAGAACGCCTTTCATGCGGAACTAATTTTAGCGAAATGCAAGGTAACGCCTATCAAGCCGCAGCTTACAATTCCAAGAGCGGAATTGTGTGCAGCAGTCATTGCTGCGAAAATATTTAAGTATTTAAAGGATCACTTAACTATTCATATTGATTTTGCAGAGACTGTATTTTGGTCAGATTCGATGATCGTTTTGAGCTGGATCCAAGGAGATGCTGCGAGGTGGAAGGTTTTCGTTGCCAACCGCATAAGCAAAATTTTGGAGCTATGCGATGGGAAACAATGGCGACATATAGCATCTGAGGATAATCCTGCCGATCTTCTAAGTCGGGGTATCAGTGTTACTAAATTAGCATCGTGCCAATTATGGTGGAATGGACCGCCGTGGCTGAGATTTAAAGATTGTGAGTGGCCATCGACAAAACTAGATTCTGGAACCGATATGCGAGTCACCAGCGAACAGAAGCAGATGCACTGCAACGCTATTTCTGTGGAGAAAGAGAACGGATCCGATATACTAGGAAGGTTTTCATCGTACACATTTCTCATTCGCATGCTGGCCTATATTCATAGATTTATAAGGAATTGCAGGATATCGAAATCTGCTCGAATAATAGATTCTCTCACGATAAGAGAACTTTCTGAAGGGTTTTTGTGTGCGGTTCGTATGTGCCAAATGGAAGGCTTTGCAGGCGATTGGAAACTATTATCGGAAGGGAAAATGTTACATAAGCAAAGTCCGCTATTACCACTCAATCCATATTTTGATGAATCGGAAAAAATCATTCGACTTGGAGGACGCTTGAGAGACGCACTGCTGCCGATGGCGGAAAAACACCCATACATTCTACCTTATCAGCATTCATTTACAAGCTTGGTCATTCGTTATAGCCATGTCAGTACCTTACATGGAGGTGCGGCCCTTACACTCAATCATATCAGGAAAAAATGTTGGATCATCAACGGACGTAACGCCGTACGAAGAGAAATCCATAAATGCATTGTTTGCTATAAATTTAACCCTTGTATTACAAGCCAAAAGATGGGTAATCTGCCACCGGCCAGGATTCGGCCACAGAAGGCTTTTACGTCAGTTGGGATTGACTACGCAGGACCGTTCAACATTTCGCCATCTAAAGGAAGAGGACGGACTTCGGTTAAAGGCTATATCGCTGTTTTTGTATGTCTTGTAACAAAAGCTATCCACCTAGAACCAGTGGGGGATTTGACATCGGACGCTTTTCTTGGAGCACTTCACCGATTCATCGGCCGCCGTGGAAAATGTGTTCATATTTATAGCGACTGTGGCACAAATTTCGTCGGGGCAAATCGGAAGCTGCAGGCAGACAAGTTGGCATACAAGTTGTACATCGAAAAAACGATTCTAGGTAAACTCACAGATGACGGGATTACGTGGCATTTTAACCCTCCCTCCGCTCCACATTTTGGAGGTCTATGGGAGGCGGGTGTTAAGTCAATGAAACACCACCTAAAAAGGACAGTTGGTGATCGTACGCTTACATACGAGGAATTGGCCACTGTATTAGCTCAAATTGAAGCGTGCTTAAACTCTCGTCCGTTGTGCCCGCTAAGCAATGACCCGGAAGATTTGATGGTCCTAACTCCAGGCCATTTCTTAGTTGGGGATGCTCTACTCGCTATGCCAACAGAGCAGGCCGATAAACTAAGTGCCACCGAGAGATGGAGGAACTGTCAGCACTTGGTTCAGCAATTTTGGAAGCGTTGGTCCTCGGATTATCTATCACGCTTGCAGCGGAGACCGAAGTGGTTGGAAAATAGGCGTAACTTGCAGGCTGGAGATCTAGTACTCATTAAAGATGAACGTTTGCCGTCTAATCTATGGGCTCTTGGTCGAATTACTGAAACTCATTGCGGCCAAGACGGTTTGGTTCGAGTGGTTAAACTCCAGTCTCAGAGTGGTATTATTAAACGGCCAGTAGCAAAATTGTGCCCATTACCCATACAAGATAATTGGTTAAATCGTGATCTTGACCCTCCACAACAATTCTAAGTTGCATTATCTTTTTAGCGTCCAACCTCCAACCAACCGAAGACGTTGAAGAAGCAGTTAATAATATTTTAATAATATCATTAGGGGGGAGAATGTTTGGACTGTATATTGTCAACACGAGAACTTGCAGTGTAACTGACGTCACACTGTAAGCTCTCTAGTTACAGACATTCTTCTTTGCCTTTTATTCGTAGTCTTGTTCGAAAGATCGAACCATATCACAGCTAATTTGTGCATATGTACATACATAATTTGGAGAGCTGCAGCTTCGGTGAAAATGAAATGTAAAACCGACAAGTTAATCTGCGAGCGACAGTCAATATAGTCAGAAGCACCCTCTGTGCTCTTCTCTTTTATGTTTAATTATATAACCTAATTAAATCGAACGCACATTTTTGGAACCTTTCGACTTCTTATTTGGGACCTTGGGAAACAGACCGCCACTCCGAGGAACTTCCAACGCCGCCACAGGTGGATAATCACTCTGTGCGCCGCATCATATTTTGCTGAAGATTGGGGCTCCGTCGGTACGCAGCCATAGCCAACACAATGTTATATAACATATTCTCAAATTAAAGTTCGATATTTCAATGCCTAAAGGAAAAACTTTTAACACAAATACTCACATTTTAAAAATAATAGTATTGGATCATTATTACTCAATATTACTTTAAAAATTGCATTTGGATCAAAAAGAGTTTTGAAAAGTGTTCAAAATTCCATAGAGCATGTGGACATTTAAATATAAGATAAAGATACATTAATTTTGAACACATATTTTAGTATTTAAAAGATTATAAGATATATTTGCAACTACAAAAATATTTAAGAACTTTAAAATTTATTGTCTTATAACTTAATCTATCAGACTTTTTTCCAAAATCCAAATTTTTCTTCCACCATTATTCTATAAAATTTCTCGTAATCCACTTAATCTCTTCTTTAGCAAAGCAAAATGCGACCTATAACTTCCGCTGGCCCGAGGCGCATCCGTTAGATAAACTCCGCTTCCCAATGTAAACGCTTTTCGAATTGGCTTACGTAACTGACCTAAGTCAGCCGATGTTGCGTCGCCGAGCGCTTAACACTTCTTATATAACCCGCTAACTAACTGCCGTGTGGCCTATAAAACTGCATCCCATTCATGATTCTAAGCTGTCGGCCGATCCGAACCGAACACAAGATACAATATCTTTTGTTTGTTTATTTGTCCGCTTCGGAGATATTTTATTTATTTCTAATTTTATTTGGTGTTCGTTCGACTTCCGTGCTGTGGGTCACATGCGTGACTCCCGATGTCTTTTCGGGTGTGTTCGTGCCTCAGTTTTGTGTTTTCTTTTCATTTCAGTGTCTTTTGGCCGCGGACGCGTCGTATTGACAGCGTTCGAAGCGTTTTGATTGCGCGGCCTTGAAAGTGAAAAGGTGTCGACTGTCGCTCGGCCACTTTCGCTTTTTTTTTTCAACAAAAAATAAAAGAAATAAATCAAAACAAAACTTTTCGGGTTTCCTGGTTTGGTTTGAATACTCTGACAGAGGGACAATAAGGTATTTTTGGGGATATTTGAAGTCATTTTGAACTAGAAAGATCTGGAAATCTGTAAAATAAAAAAATAACTGCTAAAATATCTAACAAATATATTTTTTCTAGACCATTTATTTATCTTAGAACGCCAAGACTTAAAATATTTGAAATTCAATACATCGAAGTAGTTCTCTAAAAATCTGCTTAACATTCCCAAGAGTAGAGTATCTAAAGCTTCGACTTGTCAAGCTAAAGAACTTCCCAACTGGCTGAAATTACAAACTTAAATAGCAATTAAACCTGAGCGTTGATTCTGACACTTTTCTGTGTTGTTTTTTGGCCCTAATCAAATGTCAAATATCTATGCCCACGCGACACCCACTAAAATTGGTCTTAAGTTTTATTGCCTTTTCTGCAACTTATTGTCTTTTGGGGGCGAGAGGGAATACTATTTGGCCTGATCTTGGGGCTCATTTACATAAAATCCCGGCAAAAGGCCTGGCCAACACTCGAGTTAATTGTCGAGGCAACCTCATTTCATAAGCAGTTGCATTAACAGTTAAAAACACATTTTATTTGCCGCAGTCGCAGCCGTTGGCTGTTTTAGTTTTAGTTTTAGTTTTTATTTTTCGTTTTTCTCGTTGGCTGGAGGCAATTAAATAACACGGGGCAGTCATAGCTAACAGGGCGAACGATTATATAAGTCAACGCTCACATATTTAATTGTCTTTAACTACTCCAAAAAATATAATCGTAATAATATTACATGCTCTTATGCATTTTTCTTTTAGTTCGGCCCGATTGCAACAGATACTCATAATTGTTGTCTTTCCCTTTTTTTTTTAGTTTTTTGGGGGCTAAATGAAATAAGAGCCCATTGAAAATATTTCCTGCGGGTTGAAGTTCCGTTAACGGTTATTAACTATGCATAATGCTGCCAAGAGTTAGGCGACAACAGGTAGAGATGAGGAGAGCCAAGTTAAATGATTTTTAAACCACCAGTTTGGCTTTTCGCGTAATCATAAAGGCCAAAAAAGCAAAAACCCGTCATCGGTGGCTGCGCTGTGCCAGTTACATGGACTACATTTCGAGATGATCTCTTGTCTCTGGGACCCCGAATCGAATCTCCATCAGCAACCAGTTAACCAGTTAACCAGTCGTAAACCGGAACTGGCCCGCATAACGGTAACCAAGACAAAGCCCGATCTTCCACTCCCCCCTCCCCCTCACCTCTCTTGGCCAACTCTCACTCTCACTCTTACCTGAAAGTCTCTTGCATTATTCATCCAAATCGGCGGCAACATCCACATCCACAGCCACACTGTTAAGGCATTTTCAAAGTCTTCCTCTTGACCTTGGACTCAACAACACGGCAACAACTTGTCGTTGTCGTCGCCGTATTGTGGCCAAAACCAAAGCCAAAGCCAAAGCCAATGTTGTTGGAAAGCAGCGCCAAAAGCGTGTGCCACAAAAGAAAGCCAAACCACTTTTACTTTCAAGCTCAAGCCGCGTCGAGTCGAGCCGGCGAAATGAGGCAATGGCAATGCAACGCTGGTGGCTGTGGGCTTATGATTTTGGCGCCAAAATCCATTGCACACTAAGTAAAAGATATTAATTTTAATGTAATGAAAAAATATTTGTATAATAAAGAAAGTACCTATAGGTATTTAATACTTTTAAAGGGCTTAGATCACATAAAAGGTCTAAAATCAGGTTACAATTAAAACAGTTTACAACAAGTAACAACCTTAGCCAAGTTGTCCTTAAAATTATTTAATAAATTTATTTTGCATATATATTATATTAAGATAAGCCCTTTATAAAGATTTTTTTCAAGAACAATATATACTGTTATATATACAAAGCAAATTCTAAAGTTAGACAAAGGGAGCTATTGACGATTAAAGACAAACCTTTGGCGTTTTAAAAACCCTTTAATATCTTTTGCCTGTTTTTCATTTTATTATTCCTAGAGTACCATTATTTTCTCTTTTTCCCTTAAATATTTAAGAAACCTATAATTTAAGATATCTTTTCACTGTGTAGAATTCAAAAAAGGAAGTCCAAAGAAAGTGAATCTCCTGGGATATATCCACTTAATAAAAATGAGTCATTGTACCTGTGATTCACTAAATTACCGCAAAACAGGAAGACATCAAATAATTGACCTACTTAAGCGGAAATGTACAAATAAACTTTATTGTACCCTCAATCAACCATCTTTTGTTATCATAAACCACAATTTCCCTTTTACATCTTCTCAACACGATTGTGAAAAACTCAAAAATCAAGAACACCCTACCACACTTCCCCCAATTTTAGTGATATGAAAAGTTTGTGTGATCTTGACATGTTTTAGCCTAATATATAACACATGATTTAACGTCTAGTTTGCAGTTTTGTATGCTTATACTAATTACATTCAAATGTAATTCATTTTATTTATTTATTTTGTTGGCAGCTTGTGATCTCTTGTTTTGGGATTTTGGCTGCTGCTATAACAAATGCGACGCAGAAAATCACACATATTTTTGCCGATTTTATTGTTCTCTGGGAATGAACCTTTTTTTGGTGCTATTTTTAAGTGAAAATAAATGGATGAGAGATCTGTGGGGATTTAAAGAGACAGAGCGAGAAAAACACAATCGTGAAATGGTCAAGATTATACGCATTCCCTAAGGGAAGTATCATTGGGGTTGAAATGATTAGAGTTTATGCAGAATAGCTCAAATTTAAACATCTTAAATACATTTTAAATAATATTAAAATATAAACTCTTAAATTCCTTATCAACCCTAATATAAAACACATTTTTAGAATCAAAATTAAGGAATGGTTTTAGTTCGCTTTCTTGTAGTCACTTATTAAGATTTGTGTCAGAAACATTTACAATAAGCAAACGTATTATTTGGATTATTATTAGTTTCTGTTTTGAACGTTTGGATCTATTTAAATGATGTATTAAAATATATTAAATGGTCAATTTTCATTTAACTTTAGGAGGGAATTCAACAATATCAAGCAACAATTACCATAAATATTTAATTACTCATTGCATTTTCCTAGCGTTTCTGTTAGTGATCCATCAAGATCCCAAGTACGTTGAAGAAACATTCCCAATTTGTTTTATCTCCTTTCCTTATGGAAAGACACATTTTATGAAGTTGCTGCTGCATTGTTTAGACATAAAAGCCCAGAAACCATTTCTTTTTGCCATTACTAGCCGATGTTGCAACACCCTGGGGATACTTAAAGATACTTTTGCTTGGCAGCCTCAGTCGCTGCATCAGCTGCACATGATAATGAAAACTTCTCGTGGATCGTGGATTGGGGATAGGGAATCGGGCCGTAAGTGCTGACCTACTTAACAGGCCCCCGGGTGGGCGAATGGCAAAGGGGGCGGGGCATGGCGGAAGGGGGAGTGACAGGCAAAGGAAAAACCAAAGGAGAAATAGACACCGTCTAAACAGAGTCAGAGATCGCAGATACACATATCCAGACACATTCCACTGGCAATGCACAAACATTTCTCTCTTTTTCGATTTGATTGCCTTTAGTTTGGCGGCAAAAGGGGGTGGTTCTTGGGGCAGTGGGCAGGGGGGGTGGTGGTGCTGAGGCCCCAGTCTGGTGGAGTCTATTTTACAGCTGCTGACCCACTTTTCCCAAAGTCAAGAAAATTTTTGTTGCTCTGGCTGTTGTTGTTCCTGCAAAGCATAGAACATTTCTTTCAATGCGCCCAAAAGAAAAAAAATAACCGAGAAATTGAAAGTGAATTCTGGTGTTGGGCTGCTGCAGCCACTCCCCCTGCCACCCCCCCAACCATCCCGCACCCACCCTCTTCACCGCCCCCCTGCAAACAACTCAACAATGCCGCCAAGCAAACAACAAACAGCACCAGCAACAACAATTAACAACAATTTCAATTTTAAGGGAGCATTATACACACATATTTAGTCGCACATACACATAGAGAAAAATGTTCTCAAATAATTAAAAAAAACCGAAGCTCCAGTGGATTTTTTTAGTTTATATGTAAGCATTTTTGTTATAAATTAGCTAAAATACGCCGCACAGCCAAAAGAATAACTGTTTTGAGCAGCTGATGACCTAACCTATCGATTCCAGGCCAATTTGGGAAAATTTATTTTTTGACCGATTTTTTCATTTTTGATAAGGGGTTACATCATCATTTTTTGCGAAAATCGGTTAAAAATAAAATTTTTTAGCTGTAAATGCCAATCGATTGGAAATTTTGTGACGAATTCAAAAAGGTATCCCATTCCTATATTTGGTTATTAATTCTTAGCATTTTGATAAAAAAACGAGAACTTTAGTAGATTTTTTTGTGATTTTGGCCATAAAAACCTTACAGGAGTCACTTAAATTATGCAAATTAGAAAATATCTAAGACCAGGTTAAATACAGGAACTTTGTATATTAATTCATATTTGTATATTAATAATAGTTTTACTGAAAAAACGTATGATTGGGGATAGTTACTTCTTTAGCAATAATATTATTAATTCAAATGTTTCGTTTTCAGTGTGTATATATTTCTTTATGACTTCAGGGCGCATATTTAGGTTTGTTTGTATTGCGTTGTTTGTATCTGTGTGCAGTAAAGAAAAAAATGTACAAAAATTGGGTCAATTTGTTGTTGCTGCTCTGTTTTCGGTGGGGCGTTCTGCTTGCAACAAGTGTCTGGCCCTTTGGCAGCCATCTCGTTCGCTCAGCGGACGCGGGTCTTGCCCTAAGATAAGTAACGGCCCCGCCCCCTCGTACCGCTGCCCCCCCTCACCCCTGCCGCTTTTCCACCCCTCACCGCCCCCTCGAAAGATTGATAAAGTCGGCGACGGCGACGTCGACGCCAACGCAGCTGAAAATAGAAGCGCGCGCAGCTTTCTTGGAAGACTTCGTTTTCGTTTGCGTTTTGCTTTTTTGTCGACTTTTTTTTCGAAAAGGGCGCCCCTTGTAAATTTTGACGCACAAACACACAGATACCCATTGATTAGCCATGTGTGCGTGTGTTGGCGTTGAGATTATTTTCTAGCATTTTTTATATTTTTATTGTTGTTGCTGGGCTCTGTAAGAAAAGTAGGCCAATGGGTCTTTGGGTGAGTGGTTTAGATTTAGTTTTTTTTTTGTCTCGCTCTCTTCCTCTTGCTTTCATTTGATTTTGCTATTTTTTTCAGTTGCCTTTTATTAAGGGAGTGTTCTATTAATTTTACACATTTATTTTGTTATATATTTTATTCATCTGACATACATTTAGTTTTACTTTGGAGTGTTCTATTGATTCAATTTAGTTATTTTATTAAGAATTTAATGCAGCTGACAATCATTTACATTTAATAAAACATTAAATGACTATATAAAATTACAAATGCCCTTTTTATTTAGGAATTATCTTACTAATTTAATGATTTCCATTTTCATATCTTAACCCCTTAGAATAGTCGTCCTAATTCTTCTTAGCAGGAAGAGATACAGGTAAAAATGTTCAAGTATTAATGACTATATTAACCATATTCATAACTTTTAAACGATTTGACTTAAAATATATTTAGAACCAAGTAAAATTTCGATATAGATGTGTTCAAAAGTCCCGAACTTTTAGCTTTTTCTGCCTTTCAACTACCACTACTTTCTTTCTTTCCCCTTTTTCTTTACGTGTAAATGCCTAACTAGGCCCATAAATTGTTTTAATATTCCCCTAAGGGTGCGTTACTTTTCCCAAAAGATACTTTTACTATGCGTAAATTATTTCTTTTTAATGTCCGTTGGAGCTGTGTAATTGTTTCAAATGGCAGTGCCGACTGATTGGACTGAGAGAAGGTAGATAGATAGATAGATGGATAGCATTTCCACTCGACAAGTTGCGTAAGGAAAATATCGAAAGGGGGAGAAGGGATATCATTTTCGGCTGTGGGTCACTTTGGCTAAACAATTTAGTTGATGATGATTTACCATCTGGCCAGCTCGCACACAAAATGTTTCTATTTTGCGTGGTACGCTTGATTTATAACGGAAAATTCGTTTAAGCAAAACAAAACGCTAAACAATTTTTGTGGGCCACGTTAATAAGCGCAACATAACGAACATAATATCTTAACTTGGTCATCAGGCAGCAGACAGCCCAACAAAAGAAAAGGCATCTTTAAAGCAGCAACAACAGCAGTCGTGACTATTACATAACCCCCACACCACACTCAGATACAGATACAGATACAACTGCAGATACAGATACAGGCCGTCGAGAGTGAGGCTGAATCTCAGACTCTGGGCCCGAGTTTGCGTTTGAGTCTGGGTCTTAGACTTTGTGGCCAACATGGCGTCGTCGAAAAGAAAATAGTCAATGTATTGTGGAAAGAAAACAACAAAGCGCGAAGAAAAAGAGGTGAGCGATTGTTGTTGTTGCTGCACTGGGAGAATCGGTTTTGATTACACCTTTACTTTTATGGCAATCATAGTTGGTTGTTCTTCTTAATTCATAATAAAAATATAATTTATTGACAAGAGTTTGAATGCAGGTACAAATAGTTATATAACAAAAGATCTCCAGAATTTTTATAACAAGTGGTGGATAGAGCTATTGAATATTTAACATTATATTTTTAGATCTTATTATCATTTGATTAATTAAAATGATAAAATTGAATTCTTGTGAAGCAAAAATGTTTAATAAATAAACTTGCAATATTTTCCTAGCAAAAGAAAAAATGTATTAAAAGTTTAAAAAATGCTAAGAAATGCTTGACACTTTTTGAAATTCAATTTCTTCAACATAAGAGCATAAAATATTTGCAAATTGTGTCAATTGCGGAAAGTGTTTCAACTTGTTGAATATATAACAAAGTACTATATCAACATTATTAATATGTATATTATTTTTAAAATGACAAATTTTTCTTAAATTAGCATAAAAACTTGAACAATATGCTTTACACTTTTATAAATTTTTAGAAACTCCCAATTTAAAAATCTTTTCTTTGGATGTAGCCGAATGGCCCATTGTTGTTGCAGCGGCTGTATTAGATAGCAAAAGTCAGTCGCAGTCGCAGTCGCAGTCGCAGTCGAAGTCGAAGTCGGCATAGAAAGTGAAACCACTCTGTGTTGGCCACACGATCGTCGTTGCCAAGCGAATACCAACGCAAAAGAGAGGGAACGAAGCCTGGCTCTAAGATATAAGCCAAACAACTAACTATTACTCAATCTGTGCTAAAAAGAAAAAATAAAGATAGATAGATAGATGTAAAGTTGGTCTCCCTCTCTCTCTCCCTCTCTCTCTATCGCTCTTTCTCTCGCCATCTCTTTCGCCGTCTTGGGACATGAAAATAAAAATGAAGTAACCCACTTTTTTCCGTTATGGTTTTTATAGTCGCTGCAGCTAAAGTTGGAGATGAAGCGCCGCGGAGGCACAACAATGCGGCGCGGACAAAGTGGAACTGGAGTGTGAAAGATGGATTGGATGACAACTGAATCGAGATGGATCGGGATCTGGAGATTCAGCTGGCGCTGGAGCTGGAGCAGTTCACCTCAATAACGGACCCAAGAAACCGAAAGTGACGCTGATCGAAGGGGTCCAATCTTTCATCTTATGTACTATCCCTTTTTAAATTGTTGTAGTCCATTCATGTAACTGACTATGTTAGTGACTAGCTCTTAAAAGCAAAAGTAAATATATGAAAGAGTACCAGTTTTTATTAATATCAATAAATCAAATGATAAATATACCATGCCATTCTTGATTATTGAATTTATAATGTTTTAATCGAATTAATGATTACTCAGAAAAATTGTCAAACAAAGTAAAGTAGAGCAAAAAAGCAAATAATAGTAGCAACGATAAGAAGAGGTCTTATAAATAAATTTGTGCAAGAAGTAGCCAACCTATCTTATAATATTATTATCGTTTTCTTCTAATGTGTTTTCATTCCTTACCTTTCTCATATTTTGCAACACTTCTGAATTTATTATAATAATAACATTAATAAGGGGAGGTAGTCTGTCTTCAATAATAGTTAATAGAGAACACTTTTCAATAACATTAAATATGGAATTTGCATTTTAAACAACAATTTTTACCAATTACGCATGTATATTTTGTTAAGAAATGTACCAATACTTTTTATTTTATTTAGTTGATTAAATAATTTGAACCTTTTAAATTAAATGAAGTATAATGTTTTCATATTAATTCAATATATGTCTTTATAAATTCTGAACGTACTAGGTATCCCTTAATTCCCTTTAGTATTTTCCTTCCTGATTTAAATCCTGTCAACATATCACCCCAGCCTCTTTCATTGCAGCAATTAGCATTTATCAACGCGTCGCACAGGTAAGCCAGAAAAAAGTGTGTTTGCTGCCTCATCTGCTCGTTGCAGTTGCAAATTTATCACTTCTTGCTGCCGCCACTCATAACTCATACGCCGCGTGGCCGCGCCACTTGCTTGGCGCTTAGTTTGGCAGTAATTGTGCGGCAATTTTTGTCCGCCTGCCAAAACGCAGTTGCATGTTGCATTCAATGTGGAGAAGCATTGGGGGGAAACTTTCACCTTAATCCGCTTAGAACCCTTATCAAAGTCGAGCTTAAAAGTGAAGTATGGGCTAATTTGGGGTCTGTGGCTACCAAGCGACACCCACAAGTTCAAAGCAATTTCACTTTTGTTTTTTTTCGGTTAGAGTGCATGCGCAATTAGCTTTCATCAATCAAAGTACTCAACAATGCAGCTAGACAAATTGGGCGCACGCAGCAGCAGCAGCAGCAGCATTTGACCAAGATAGAGATTCAGATGGAAAGAAAGTTTGGGCCACCGCCTTGGGTTTTCCGACCCAAAAGGGCTTAGCTCGAACCCAAATGTCTGTAAGTGATTATCTGCCCCAGGTCGTCATGGCATTTCATGGCATGCGTTTTTTTCTGGGAGATTTTTCTTGTTGGCCTTTTTGTTTGGGCTTTCTCTGGCGCGTTAATTTGTCGGTTTCTCGAGTTGCATTAATTCTTTTTCGCCTTGTCGTTTATAAATTTGCTTTTCGTTTTGGGTTTGTCTTACTGTCAAATTGTGTCAACACGGCCGCCTTGCAATTGTCTGGGGGTCCGAGCTCTTCCCTTTGGTTCCCTGCCTGTCGCGCCTGGCAGCCCAAAATGCATTGGCCTGTCTTATTTGTCCCATCGGAAGACAGCCCAAAAGCAAGACACTGCCCCTCTCTTTCACTCACATTTCGGGGCTGACATGGTGCGTCTCTTTCTAGTCTTTGGCCCCCAACAGATCGGTTTTGTCGCCTAAATATGGCCGACATTTAATTAGACATTTTTTGGCAGCGCTTTTCAATTCATATTGTGTCTTGGGCTAATTGCAGTTTGGGGCATAATTTTGGGAAAGAAATAAAAAACCAGAATAAACCATACAGGGCACTTAGTGTTTTTAATTGACTTGGTCATAAAAATATCATTCCAACAAACGGTTGGAATATGTTTAAGTTAAGTGGTTGCCAACGCTTCGATTAAGTATTTAAATTAAACTACAAATAAACAAATATCAGTTTATTACTTTAAGGGGCTTATTAAGCACGTTTACTTTATTTATTATAATAAACATTTTTAATAGACAGCCAACAAAACTTAATGGAAAAACGATAGAAATACGGTTTCCGCGATCAATAATATATATTATAATAATATCATTTACTGCATCGCTAACTTTTGACTTCATTTACTATACCTGTAATAACTTTTCAATTTTGAGCTGAAAGAAAAGATGTATTGCTAGAACATAAATTAAAAGCGCAACAAAATCAGTTTCTTTGTATATTGTAAATTTTATTTAATTTATTTAGATTTGCTTTACAGTTTTTCTTTGTTGTTTGTGTATATTTAATTTACGAATATATAAATTAAAATGAGAACATTGCGTTGGCCTTACAAATTAATAGCATTCATATCTTCTGCGCTCTCTCAAAAGCGAATTCCCGCAAACTCGTCGAATTCGCTAGACAATTGTTAATTACGGGCAGGGTTTCCTTCGAGGGTTTTGTGCAGGTAAAGCGGTTACTCGATGTTCCGGGCGATCTGCTTAACAACTAAAGATTTGCTAATGTTTTTTTTTCAGTGTTTCAAGCAGTGGGGAGGGGGGCTGGGCGATTGGGAGTGGATGTGGGCGTGGCATTAAGCATAGAGCAAAGCCGCACACCAATCAAGAAATGTACAAATTTGAATTAGATGTATATAAATAAGTTTTGATTTTTTGTATTTTCCATTTTTTCTTTCTTTCCTGCGTGTTATTTTTTTTTACATAAATATTTTTAACATTTTTCTTTGGCTTAACTTTATGATAAGATATAATGTATAAGATTATGTATAAAAAATGTGCGAAATATATGTTACAGTCGTTAAGAATTAAGTACAAAAATATGCTTTACAATGATAACAAGAGTTTGGGGAAGGGGGGAGTAGAAGAAAATGTACAAAGGAATGCAGATGGTTGTAAACGTTTACAGACCAACGGCTTAAATAGAAAACAATGAATAGTAGAAGGAAAATGGTTCTTACGAGCTACCCACACAGCATTTTGAATCTTTGATTTGACAGAGTCTCTCTCACACACACATACACACACATATTCAGGCAGTCACACACACACTATCGCATGTCCAAAGGACACTTTCTTTGTATCTGCTGCTGCTACAGCGAATGCTCATTGGTGTTGAGGAAGCTGCGGCACACGCGACTCACTTCGGGATTGGCATGGTTCATCAGCTGCATGTAGATCTGCTTGTGCAACTGCAACTCATTGGTCATCTCGCTGAGCTGCCGGATGAGTGCGTCCTTCTCCTTCAGCAGGCTCTTCACCCGCTCCTCCACCTCCCGCGACCGCACCTTGGCCTTCTCCCGGCTCTTCCTCACCGCAATGTTGTTCCGCTCCCTTCGCCGGCGGTACTCATCGGTGCCCTTGTCCACATGCTTGTTGCTGTGCTTGCGATGTTGCTGCTGCTGCTGGTGTTGCTGATGTTGCTGCTGGGCATGCAACTTGCTGTGTTGCTTTAGCAAATGCTGGGCTCCTGCGGCGGCCGCCAAATGTGGCAGGTTGTGATGGGCCAGGACATTGGCGGTCGTTAGATTGGTGAACTGGCTGCCGTTGCTGCTGCCCGTGCTGCCATTGCTGCCGTTGCTGCTGGGCGTAGTGTTGCCGCCGTTGAGGGGATTGCCCCCACCAGACAGGCCGTTCACCCCCGCCCCGTAGCCGTTGTACAACCCACCGCCGTTGCCCATGAACGCCGCCTGCTGGTTGGCCGCCTCCTGGAGGTGTCGCCTGTACTCCGGATCGATGGGCTCCTCCTTGATCGTACTGGAATCGGAGCCCACGGAGCTGTTCTCGTCGCTGGAATTATTGTAGGTGGCATGAACGGGCTGTGGCATGTAGGCCAGGGCTCCTCCTCCGCCGCCACCACCTCCTCCTCCTCCGCCTCCCCCTCTTCCCCCATAGCCATGCTGATTCCTCAGTGTTTGCTGCTGCAGGACCTTTGCTGCCGCCGATACCATGCCACTGGGTGGCAAGGTGGCCGACAGACCACCCGGACTGGTCACCATGTCACTGAAGATTCCCAGTGCCTCCGTGTCCCTAAACTGATCGTCTATCAGGTGCTGCAGATCCAGGGTGATCTCCTGCGTGGTCAGCTCGTCCAGATCCGTTTGGGTGGTGTACTGCTGCAACATTTGCTTCTGCAGCAGGTTGTTGTTGTTGCCCAAGGCGGCAACCTGTTGCATTTGATGCATGGCATGTTGTTTTACAAGGAGTGCGGCATCCTGGGAAGTATTGTTGTTGGCATCGGTTGTCTGCTGCTGAGGTTGCTGCTGCTGTTGTTGCTGCTGTTGCTGCTGCTGTTGCTGCTGCTGCTGTTGCTGCTGTTGCTGTTGCTGCTGCTGCTGTTGTGCCGTGGACATGGCCGTCAGGGTGATTTGGCCAATGGTGGCCTGCTGCAGCGGCGGCTCCTTTTTGAGGTCCAGCTGGGCCAATGTCTGAACGGCATCGGCGTACATCTGCGGCGACTCCATGTTCAGCATTTTCAGTTGCGCGAAGGAGGGTAAAATCTTGATGCCTTGTAGAGCGTTAATTTTGGATGTTTTTTCTTTTTAATTAGTTCAGATAAAGTCAGAATTTTTAATTCGATTATTTTTGCTAAGGCCTAAAGCATTGCACTGAGGTAAGTGGGTCTTTGGAAATGTTTATCGTTTCTCTTTCAAATATATTATTATTTAATATTAAGCTTCATTTTAGGCTGCCTAAGTGTTCACTGCAGCCCAGCATTTTTCGTTTGCCTATTATTTATTTTGTTTTAATTCTTGTTGTTATTGTTTTGGTATTGTATTTTTTATTTTTAATTTCTTATTTGTAAACTGCACTTCTCCGGCCGCACGCGTTCGAACGACTGAAGTGCCGCAGCAGTGATGCAACAGATTTTATACGAGACGGGCCGACGCTGGTGGCTTTTGTTGGTAGTTGCTGTGTTGGTGTTAGAAACGCTCCTGAAGAACCGTTAGCTGAGCGAGCTTTTCTTTGAGATTTGTATTGTATATTTCTTTTGCCAAGACGGAGAGCGCGCGTCCGTCGCCGACAAATGGTAAATTGTAACTGTGACAAAATGCGAACGCGCGGCAAAGTGAAAAAGTCTTTGGCGCAGCGACGCAGCCGAAGAAAAAAGAAAATGAGCGGACGGCGCATGTAACACACACACCGCCTCATCCCTCGTCGCTCCACGCTCGCCATTAAAGCCCCCAAAAAGACGCCGACGTCGCTGTTACTGCGCTGCCTTTACAGCAACAGCAACAAGCAGCAGCAGCAGCAGCAACACCAGCAAGCAGCAACAACAAGCAGCAAAGCAAAAGCAAAAGCAACTACCTGTGGATGAGAGCGAGAGGAGAGCCAAGATCAGGTAAAAAAGCAAAAGTTTTTCCCAATCACTTTTACTCTCGTCGCAAGGCAGTTCACTTGGCAAGTTCTTGTTTTTACTGCCGCAGGCAAAAAGTCCGAGTGTAAACCATTAAACGTAAATAATATGCATTTGGGCTTTTGGTTGTGAGTTTTTAGCGTTTACCACCACACATTAAAGGCAAAATTTAAGTTTCTAGAGGCACAAGTTGAAGGAAATGTATTCCCTTTAAGTAAGAGTATTATTATTAGTTTTATATAATTCATTTATAATATATTATTTTGTAGTACGGAGCAACTATATTATTTAATATTTTTTATAATACAAATAAGTTTCCATATGATAAACATACAATTTTTTGTAATATACATTTTAGCAACAACAACAATAAATATTTAAATTTGTTTTAATGATTTTTAATTATAAAATATTTGATAATCTTAAAACAACTAAATCTTTTAATGGTTTTCTGGTAAAAATTATAATATTTTCTTATTATAATTTAGCAATTTTGTACTTCCTGATATTATAAGTTGCTTTTTTTTAGTGCAGCCTAAAATATTTTTTTAAAAATATGCTAACTCTAGAAAACACTAAGCTAATATTCATAGCTCATAGCTGCCTTTCATTTTTACTACAAAATTTAAATTCAAAATGTTTATTTTCAAGTAATCAACTATAAAAGTATAAAGATAATAAAAGAACGTTGTTTAAAAAAAATTTTTTTTCCGTGTGTTCCGTATGTAAATGCATTTAAATCTGAAGTTAAAGCTAGAATTTGTTTGTGTTTTTGTCAAGTTAAAATATGCAGTTGTTTATTTCATCAAAAAACTCAATGCACCGTTATTCGCTCGATCGAGTGACGTCACACAAAGGCAGCCAAAAAGCACCCATACAAACTCAAGAAACTCACTCACACCAACAAAAGACGAAGTCGACTGAGCAGCCAGCGTTTTTTTTTTCTTGGTGCGCTCGCTTTCATTTTCGTTTGCTTTTGGTTTTTTGGGAGAAGCGGCAGCAAAAGCTATATAAAGAAAAAAAAAAAGAAGCAACAACAACACCACGCCCGCATAAAACCGGCAATCCACTTCGTAACCCCCAACCCCGACCCCCCGATTTTTGGGGCCTTGCCCACTCCGATTTGTGTTTAGACTCTTCATTTATTCGCCTTAGAAATGCAGTTGGATTTTCGGGGGAGTCTTGGTTTTTACATTTTTGGCGCGCATGCGTGACTTCGCAGTCGCAACGCATCAGAGAGCTTTCACGTAATACGCAGCGTTGTCTGATTCAAAATTAAAATCATGTTATGAAATTCATAAAAATTAGCACGCCTCGTAGTTTTGTTTATTTAAATGCAGCGATTTGTAAAAGTCGCCTCTGTCGCATGGCTCTCTTGCGTTTACTTTTTTACTCTCGCCTCCTGAGTTTTCGTGTCTTTAATTTGGGTCAAGTTGTCGTTTACTTTCCGAAGGTGTGCCTCTCTTTTCTACCCCCTTTCTCTCCTCCCTTTTTCCCTCCCCGTTTTTCGCTGTGTATCTACCTTTTGTTTATTTGGATTTTATTAATCATACGCCCCGTGCGCAGTTGGACGATAAGCGGATATTCCGAAGTCGATGACAGGAGCAGCAGCCTCTCTCCCTTTCTGCTTATCAGTCAAGTTATTGCAACGATTTGAAAATATCGCCGATATCGATGACTACATCGAGATTGTGCAAAAAAGAATTTGCTTCCTTATGCGTCCACAAAAGATATACATATAAATGCGAGTGATTTTGAAATCAAAATGATCTCAATTGCACCTTTATTGTTCTTGGGGGATTGCATTATGGGTTGAAATTACCCAAGAATTGATCCGATATCGATCATGGCTTATCAGCTGGGAAAAGTGATGACATCTGTCATTCAAATGAAATAAGATCGACTGATGATCCTTTTTATCTTATCGGCTTATTTATGGGGAAACTACTGGTCAATAAAACAATGCATGGCTACTTTGTGGAGTATTTACTTTTACGTCTTATATTTACTTAGAAAGAAATCAGTTTGTTTTTTGATCTTATTTAGTTTAGTCTACTTAGCTATTACTATGCAAGTCATTAGTGGTCTGAATGTTAATTTTAATAGAAAGTACTTAATTCTTAGATAACACAAATATTAAACTATCGTTTGACTTCCCAAAATAAATTTAAAGCTTCAATAGTTCGTATTCCATTTTTATAAAATATTTGAAAGAAGATGATTAAATTGTTAACATGTTTCCAATTTGCTGAAATCTTGTCACATTTGATTTACAACATATGTTAATTTCACTTTGTCTTGCTTATATTTTTATCAATTTATTATACCTTTCTTAAGATTCCAAATATACATTTTTTAAGGTTTTTCTATTTGCAAGCTAAATAAGAAATGTTACCTTTTGATCAACAGAAAAGGTGTTAGCCCTGATAAGATTAAAATATGCAAAAGTCATCCGCCCCCAAACGATTTCCCTTTGTTTATAACAATGTAAGGTAAACATATGGCTTAACTTTTAAAGTATTGAAACTAAAATTAGTGAAAGTCTAGCAAACACCAATCATACAATGCCTTTTTATCTACCTTATCTATTTTAACTCTTTCCTCGGAGAAGAGGGAAATCGTAGGCGTATTTGTCTCCCCCACAAAAAAGACGACCACGCGAAATGCTTTATAAGATGGTATTTATATATTTTGGCAAACGACTGATAAGACGGCCAAAAGCCGCGAATGCGCGTAAACAAAACAAATACGAGTGGCAGACACAATTCACAACTCAAGTGGCGTTCGTTGCACTCCGCGAAAAGAGTTGTCTGACACATGCGAAAAATCAGACCGAAATTTGTTTATAAACACACTGCCATAATTGAGAGTTGTGGCCAATGATTTCTAGGCAGCGTTTTTTGGTTTTCTGGTTTTTTGTTTTGTTTTGCTTTTCGATTTTGGTAGTCACCTTATCTCGATGATGATGACGAGTTGCCAATTCACTTTGTACTTCCTTAAATTTGAACCCCATCGCAATGAACCCGAGTCGATGGGGTTGGATGACTCGCATGCTTTATTCTCACGGCCCTGCAAATGGGGAATACTTTTCTAAGCACCGGGCAGCGAACACTCTTCGCCGAAGAGCCGGCCAGCCACTTTCATTGGCCATTCGCCTGGCATCAGCATTAAATATTATTAATTTCTGTTGTCATCAGCACAAGGTGAACAGGGAACGGCTCGCTTTCTGTGGAAGTAGAGTCAGAAAGCCAGAAAGCCAGAAAATCAGAAGTGAAGCACAAAAGAACGAGAATCCCCTTTTGGAAAAGAGTTTGGGGTCGTCGAACTGGCTGCATTTTAAATGGTGTTAAGTACAATGCGATTAGGTGGAAATCGCCCGAGTTTTCACTAATTGGGGCTTGTGAAAAATGTATTCGGTGATTGGATGTAATTATTGGGAGCAATGAGTCAATGAAATGGTAAGTTCTAAAATATTGGCAAAAAAGGTAGTCAGCTTTATGTAATGTAAAGTAGCACTTACTCAGTTTTTTTTAGTTTCGTCAAAGAACGTTTATTAAAAGTTTATTATTTATTAAAAGTACTTTTTGATTCAAATATTTTATTGGATCTTAATTAAATGCATTTTGGTTAGTTTTTAATTTGTTGCGTAAGGAGTTCATAAATTTACTTTATAATGAAACTTATGGAATTTCTTACATTTTCGCCCCTTTTGATGATTTTAAATTTTGGCGCTCATTGTCTAAAAACTGCTTGCTGTTTCGATAAGTTTAAAGTAGTTTGTTCGATAAGCTTCAAGTGGTTCGATAACTTGTGTGGCGCCACCTAGCAAATTATGAAGGTTTACTGCTTGTAAGCAGTTTACTGCTACTTAAGTGGCGCCATATTTAAAATATGAAAAAGGTTATTTAGTAATTTGGTTAGTTATTTAAAAGCAATAAATGCATCATTAAGTTGAACCATAATTACCCCATTAATAACTTACTCAATTAATAATTTATTAAATAGTTGCCAGACAATTTGTAAAATTCCACAAAGAAAATTGAAGCTTAACCATTTTTTGTATCCCTTGTGACTTTTAAACCGGAAAGGTTATGGAAACACCGTGTTGCCTCTTACCTTAGGACACATTTAGCCATCCCCACCCACCCGAAAAATACCTCGAAAAAGCGAAGTCGCAGAGCCCACAACTCATCCTATAGGATACCAAACTGCATTTGGCATGCGATCGATGGCCCGACGACAAACGCATTGATTGAAATAGTTTATTTGCGGGCCAGAAGTCCCTTGCTCCTTGGATTCCCCATTCCCCGTTCTCCATTCCCGATTCCCGATTGTCTTGGCCTTTTTGTGTGCTTTCCTCATATTATTTGTGATGTTGGCAGAGCGCAGAGATAATGATGACGAGCTGCCAGCGAGCAGAATCCAGAATCCAGCGAAAAGTTGAAGGAGCCGGAGCCGGAGCCACCCCCTTTCCAGATTTTGGTGGGGATCGGGGGGCTATATAGTGGCCGTGCTGGCCCGACCACGACTGATTGGGATGCCTGGTGAAGCGACGTGCGCAGAATTGACATTTTGTGTGTGCATTTGTGCACAGTGGGCGCGATAAGGTCGCCAAAGAGTCCACTTCTGCACTCCACACTGCACTCCATTCCACACTCCACTCCACCCGAATCCAATCCACATTG